ACCCCGCCCCGCCCCGCGGGGCGCTGCGGCTTCCAGCCCGGCTCCGCTGTTTGCGCATCCTCGTCTCTAATTTCCCCTAAGCATTTATTTTAATCTCTCCTCAGCCTCCCATTTTTAGAGTTAATTACACAGCCCCTAACCACAATCCAGCCGACAAGGCCACGCTTGCTTTCGGGGCTCAGAAGGGGGCACGGCGCGTCTGCCCGGCCTGGCCCCACCCCTGCTGCGGCCCCTAGCCTGTCAGAACCGCACCCCATCAGCTCGGGGCCCAGCCCTGGCTCCCCGGACTGGCCTCTGCAAACCCAAGCCGCACGGACAGATTCGGACTCCACGCGAAGGGGGACAGCAGGCCTGGGGGGAGGGACCTGGGCACCAGCGTCAGGCTCGGGGCTGAGAGGAGGCAGCACCCACGCCGGCGGCCGTCCCTGGGGCCTCCTGTGCGCTGGGCACCGTGCTGCAGGCTCCGCCCGCCATCGCGTTTACCCCCCCACCCTCTGAGAGCTCACCCCATTTCACACGTGAGGACACCGAGGCCCAGGATGTTAAGAGCTTTGGCTCCCAACTGGCAGGTGGCTGAGACCTGAACTCACGTCTGCTTCAGAGAGGAGGCCCTCTGAGAGAATGGGGCGCCTCCGGGGTGTTCACGAGCCCAGGTCCTGCCTGTCAGCAGCATCCCGTCCGCTCCCCTAAGGGGCTGGTTCGCATGGTAAGTGACAAGGTCTCCCGCACTGTAGCACTTTATGGCTAGGAAAACAGGCCCAGAGGTGGCCAGCAAGCAGAGCAAGGAAGGGCCCCGCCCCGCGTCTGGACCCCTGGCCCCTCTCTGCATTAAGCGGGAGCAGCGGGCAGCTGCGTTTCCGCTGCCTGTGCCCACTCGCCTGTCTGCCGGTCCCCTGGGCCCAGGAGCGCATGTGGCCGATCAGACTCTCCCTTCCTTGACACCAGCAGGGACGAGTCTGGAGTCTGGGAGGGCTTGCCGACACTGTGAGAGCGAGCACCTAGTCCAGGCCCTCAGCCACGACACAGCTCAGCCACGGTTTAGTGGTGGCCGGCGAGGGAAGGCCTACAGGGCGGCCAGTGCGAGGCCGGAAGCCGCCCATCCTCGTTCTGTGACCAGAGAAGGCCCGACGGCCGACCACATCGCTGTGGCTTCTAGGCGAGTGGCATTCTCTTTTCCAGCCCGCGGGGCCCCCCACAAACGGCAGCCACTGCTTCACCGGTGCCTTGGAACAAATGCTCAACCTCAGAAGTCTGGCTAAGTGGACACAGCACCTGTCCCCAGAAAACTGGTCCCATGACAAGTGGCCCCAACTGAGTCCGCCCCCACTGTACTGGTTTAGGGCACTCCTGCGGTGCAGGCACCCCAGCCCCAGACCCTAGCCATCAGCCCCCAGGGACGATTCTTGCCTTCTGGCCTGGCACAGTCCCTCGTCAGGCCTGGCCACTGTGCCGAGAGGCAGGGCAGCCCGCACAGGATGTGTCAGCCTCTCCGACTGGCACGGGGACACAGCTGCGTGCCCCGCCGCCCGCTGTCCTCTGTCCCTCCACTCTCGCGAGGCCCCAGCTCGGAGGTCCTGGACGTCAGAGGAGAGCAGGCCCTCAGAACCAGGACCCGAGTCTGTAACCGAGGCCCCAGATGCGACCCCAGAGGTCAGGGTGAGGGGGGCTCCTGGCCCAGCTTGTGGGGCCACTAAGACTACTTAGTGTACAACCTACCGACCCAGGTACACTGCCAGGGACACCCCGCCCACCGCAGAGACGCAGAGGCCCTGCCCCACTGGGCCAGCAGCCTTCAGGCCACCATGACCCTCGCCTCCTTCCACAAGGCCCGTGCATGCCACAGGAGGCGCTGGGACCCCTAACAGGTTGGCCGCCCTGCCCGGGACCCACGTCCTCCAGCATCTAATACACATGGGGACCCAGGGGCCACGCTGCGTCCCCACGTTCCCTCACGGGCCGCTCACGTAGCCCAGCCCTGAGAATCAGGTGCAAAGGGGAAACTGAGCACAGAGAGAGAAAGCACCTTGGTGAGGTCACACCAGGCGGGGCGGGAAGGCACAGCTCCAAACTCCCA